TGCCCAGGGTCTTTGGCCCCTTTCCTCCGCTGCCTAACAAGTCGGTCAGTGGGTGTTCCCCCCCCTTACAATCCTGGGAGGGGCAGCCACTCCCACAGCTCTCTTGGGCCCACAGCAGTGATTCTCAGAACGTTTTTAAGCAGCAGAGCCCTTTTTAAGACTATAGGCAAAGTCTTGGGTGGAACAGCAGTGGATAAAGCAATAAAAGGGGGGCTACTCTGATTGAATAATTGGGGTAGGGGTTGAAGGCTACCTGCTTGGCCTCAGCTGAGCAAGGCAACCCCAAAAGCACCGGGCAGAATCCTAGGGCTGCCAGAGGACAAGGGGAGGACCACAGGCCTGCCCCCGCCCTCCCCCCCGCCCCGCCATGACTCTCTCTGAGGCTGTCATTCTCCTGTAGTGCCCTTCCTCACCTCCTATCTCTCCTGACTCCCACTTACCCTACACACTCCCTCCAGCCAGCCCCTCCTCCCCAGGCTGGATTAGGACCTTCTCAGTTGGCTCCTAGCTCCTATTTCCTGTCTCCCTAACACCAAGCTCAAGGTGAGCACAGAGGAGGAGCCTGACATATTTGTTGATTAAATGAAAGCCACATAGTTCTCATATAGGTAATTTTTTTTTTCACGGTGAGGCCCTCAAACTTGTCCTGACGTTACCTTTGTTTCCTGCAGACGGAGAAATTGGAAGTTTCAAGTTCTGAAGTGAAATTAAACTGGCCTGGCCTGTCATCGAACCCAAAGAGGTAAAAGGAATTTACTTTGGGCTCGAGGTAAGTGAAAGGGAGCATTTTGGGGAGCATGCTTTGTGCCAGGCTCAGCTATTATTTCCTCCCCACCTCTTAGTGAACCCTCGCCACAGTCCTGAGTGGTTATTCTCACTGTTCAAGGAAGGAGTCTGGGCTCAGCAATCTCTGTCCCCATGTCAGAGTGGTGCCCACCAAGACTGGGGACGCCCCGCCTAGGAGGATCCCCGAGCTGACAGTGCCTCTCTGCCCTGTCTTGCAGCCACATGGTTAATCTGACCCCCTTGGTCCTCAGTCCTGGAGGCTTCCATTTCTCGTACCTGCCCAGAAACGGTGTGCACAAGCTCCACTACCCTGGCTTCCCCTGGTAAGTGTGCTTCTGAGCATCCCTGGGGCCAGGTACCATTCTGGCTCAGCCTCTGCTTTGCTTCTGACCAGCATGGTGGTGGCGTGGCCAAGGGCTAGGCAAATGGTCTTTATGATGATGCCTTCCACCTCCAGGAAGGACCCTTATGTAATCAGGAGTGCTGGAAAAGCTCCCTACTGTTTGTCATGGTGAGAAATTAGAAACAGCCCAGAGGCCAACAGAAAGGGAATGATTCCATCAACTGTGGGCAGCCCTATCTGTGATTTATATACATGCCTGTTTTGCAAAGCAGGGATTTACTGAATATGGGGTTTTAAAAATCACCCGTGTTTTCACTTACGGATATTAAGTATTTCCTGTATCATTGAGTGTTATTCTAAAATATGATTTAGACTGGCTGTTTCATTGCATCAGATAACTTTAAAAAATATTTCTTCGTTGATTTTAGAGAAGAAGGAAGAGGGAGAGAGAGATAGAAACATCAGTGATGAGAGTGAACCATTGATTGGCTGCCTCCTGCACGCCCCCCACTGGGGATCAAGCCTGTAACCCAGGCATGTGCCCTTGGCCAGAATTGAACCTGGGACCCTTCAGTCCGCAGGCCAACACTCCATCCACTGAGCCAAACCGGCTAGGGCCAGATAACTTTTTTAATAGCTTTATTGATATATTATTACTTACATATTACATAATTAACTTACATTAAAGTATACAATTCAGCTCTACCCGGTTTGGCTTAGTGGATAGAACATTGGCCCTTGGACTGAGGGGTCCTGGGTTTGATTCTGCTCAAGAACACGTACCTGGGTGGCAGGATTCATCCCAGCCCTGATTGGGGCACATGCGGGAGGCAACCAATTGATGTGTCTCTCTCACATCCTTGTTTCTCTCTCTCTGTCTTTCCCCCTCCCTTCCACACACTCCCTAAAGATCAGTGGAAAAAATACACTTTGGTGAGGATTAAAAAAAACACACCCACCTTTAATTTCACCAATAATAATAGCTGCAAATACTCCATTGTATGGATGGAACATCATTTACTGAACCATTCTTTAAAAAAAAGATTTTTATTGATTTTTAGAGAGAGAAGGAGGAAGAGGGAGAGAGAAACATCTATCTGCTACCTCCTCCACACACCTACTGGGCATAGAGCCTGAAACCCAGGCATGTGCCCTGAGAGGGGAATCCAACCAGCAACCTTCCAGTACATGGGGCAATGCCCAACCATCTGAGCCACACTGGCCAGGGCTCAACCATTCTTGCCTGTTGAAGTATTTCACAATTTTTAGGTTCTTGTTACATAATGATTTCTGAGAGCTGTGCTCTCATGATGCCACCAGCAAAAATAGATTATTTTTAATTGGTTTAAAAAATTTTACAAAAGCAGAACACATTCCATGGGGAAAAGTTCACAATACAGAAATGCATACATAAAATATGAGTCCCCTTGTTGCTAAAAGTCCTGCTGCTAAGAGTTTCATGTGTACCCCTCCAACACACACATACACACATACATACACTTACAGGTTAATTTTTCAACCAAAGCAGGATCACATTGTATGTACTTCTCAGCAACCTACTTTTTTCCATTACTGTAGCGTTGGGGTGTCTTTACTTGTTGGGATATACAGACCTACCTCATTCCTTCAACGGCCCCAGAATAGTCCACTGCATGGCTGTACCTGGTTCCCTAATGGATGTTTAGATTGTTTCCAGGTTTTCACAATCACAACATTGCTGCAGGGAGCAGCCTTGAACAAACATTTTTGGGAGAGATTTTTTCTGACCCGCCTGGGAAGGGGGTTGTCATGTGTACCCTGATGGTGTGATGTCCCATCTCATGGACATGTCTTGGTTGTCTCCTGCACAGGACCTCAGCCTGTAATGACTCCCCCAACACCGAGGAGACACCAGCCCCTCCTGTGGAGACCCCTGTTTTCACTCCACCTGTCCTGCTCAAGTTCCAGCCTGTGCCCAGACCTAGAGATGACTCAGAGACTGACCATGGCAGTGCACAGTCTGTGCCCCACAAGCGGGGCCCATAACCTCTTCCCTGCAGACTGTGGCGGAGGAATGAATAAAGTTCTCATGGAAGTGCCTTTGCATGCTGGGCTTCTTAGGGGCTGTGCAATCCCATGGGCTCCCTGCACCCTGAAGAGCTTGTCAGGGTAGTGCTGTCCTGAGGCCTTGAGGCCTGAGCTTACATACATTAGGTGGTCAGGTCAGTGCTACTGTGAACTCCCCTCGCTTGCCATCTAACATGGGAATTCAGCCACGTGCACTTTGAAAGAGAAATGAGTGAGGAGAGAGTGACACCTTTCCCTGCAGTGACTCTGTGGCCCCTCACTTGACCCCACTGACTTGCAAGTCTACCTTTTTTCTTCCTACACCTGGCCCCTGAACACAAGCCTCATCTGGGTACAAGTTTAGAAACAGTGATCTGTTCCCTCACTAGAGTAAAATGAGCTGGTGTCTCAGTTTCCAACTTGGCACCTTCCTAAGGAATTTCAAAGATAGTGACTCTAACTGTTGCTTCACACCCTCACCTTAGAAACAAACCTGCGTGTGAGATGTGAGCCTTCACAAAACAATGACTGATGGACATTAGCAGATACTCATTGAGCCTTTGTGTATGTCCCACCACTTGTCTGGGACTGGAGATAATAAACCAAGCAGTTGGGGCCCCTTCCCTTAAGGAACTTACATCCATCCCATCCTCATGTGTGTGTGTGTGTGTGTGTGTGTGTGTGTGTGTGTGTGTGTGTGAGAAACCAGTATATAGATCAAATTCATACCGATTATAAGTTGTGATAAGCCCTATGGGAGCTGAGACGGAGCTGTATGGGGTGTGTGGGTGGGCGAGGAAGGTCTCTTTGAGGAGGTGACACATGTTGAAACCTAGAAATGAGAAGGGGCCAGCCATGAGGTGAGATGAGAAGGGCAGGACAACTGGGTTTGGGTAACTAGGTGGAGAGTGGTATGGTGGGGGAGGGTGGAGACGGGGTGGGGGAGGAGAATTCCGCTTTGAGGAGACATTAAATTGGGAATCAGTGGGTACCCGAGTAGAGGTCAGGAGTCTGGAGCCTGGCAATTTAGTGTTGGGGTCAGGGGTTACCAGTGGACTTAAAACCAACCGCGAGACTGGGCAAGGTCACCAGTACTTGAGTGTAGACAGACGTCTGGGGCTCTGGCCAAGGGAAGGGTGGGTCAGAAGATACTCAAGGGATCAGTGAGGGCTTTGGACCTTCTGGCTTGGGCCACTTAGGAGAAGGCCTGGAGGCTGCGGAAACCCAATGGGTGGGGAGAATGGGAGGTGAGCGGGTACGTAGTGATTGTGGGCGTCGCTTTGGAGACATCTGTCAGTGAGGGGAGCAAAAATGGAGCGGAGGCTGGTGGGACTTCAGGCTCCAGGCGGGCTACTTAAAAGACCTGAGGCCTGGCTGGGTGGTTCAGTGGTTGAGTGTCCACCTATGAACCAGGTGGTCACAGTTCCATTCCCTGCAGGGGCACATGCCTGGATTGCTGGCTCCATCCCCAGTGGGAGGCGTGTGAGAGGCGGCCAATTGGTGGTTAGCTCTCATGGTTGATGTTTCTGTCTCTCCTCCCTTTCTGAAATCAATAAAAATACATAAAAAAAAAAAAAAAAGACCTGAGGACCCAGGTCAAACCAAGACGGGTTTGAGTGGGGAGGGCACTGAGCCGGGCTGGGAGGGAAGGCGAGGCGCTTGGCAGAAGACGGGCTTCGAGTCAGAGGCAGCTCAGCTCTGACCGAACAAGAGCCTAATTGGGAAACTCGGCTCAGGGACCGGCTGCGACAGCGACTGGCGCGCTTGCCTCCAGGAACCACAATTCCCAGCGTGCTCAGCGCCCACTTCCGGGCAGGACCCGGAAGTACTTAAGGATCTCGGCTGGAACGCGGCGGACGCGGCTGGCTGGGTCGTATGTTGACGATTTTCCGCGTTCGCTGGTCCTGCCGCCGCTGCCGCCGCCACCATGGGGAAGCGACAGCACCAGAAAGACAAGATGTAAGTTGAGCCACAGCCAGGCGCTCCTGGCTCTGCCTGAGTCCCGCTCGGCCTCCGTCTCCGCCTGTTCTGCGCTCTGCCGTGTCTTCCGCTCCCGCTTTCAGAGTGGACCCCAGAACCCCCTCAGGTGTCACTTCCTCCCGAAGCTTCCGTCCCCTCAGGTGGAGCAATATCTCCCCCTCTCCCCCAGCCGCCCAAATCTCCCGCTTGGAGGCGTCTGCTCTTCTTCTAGAATCTAGACCGTAAGTGCCCTCACCTGGGCGCGGCCTTCCCACCTGGGCGCTCCTCGGACACAGCCCCCGACTTCGCTTTTGTCCTGTCCGCTCGCGGGCTCTGCTCCTGCGCCTCCTGTCTCTCCCAGGGCGCTGGTCCCTGCGCAGCAGCTGACACACACGTGCAGAACCTTCCGGTGTCAAACACCCGCCTCACCCACGGTTCCCTCCAGCTGACACCTGCTTCTAGCGTGAAGGCTGTGTCCACTGGCTCTTTTCTGCTGTCTCTAGAAACGACTTGGGGTCAGGCTTTCCTGCCCAGCACTACTCTTTTTATTTTTTCTTTTAATTTTTTTATTGGTTAAGTTATTACATATGTGTCCTTATCCCCACGTTGCCCCCTATCCCCCTCCCCCCACTCATGTCCTCACCCCCCTGTTGTCTGTGTCCATTGGTTAGGCCTATATGCTTGCATACAAGTCCTTACCCCCACCCTCCCCCACCTGCCCTCTGAGGTTTGACGGTCTGATCGATGCTTCTCTGTCTCTGGATCTGTTTTTGTTCATCAGTTTATGTTGTTCATTATATTCCACAAATGAGCGAGATCATGTGATATTTATCTTTCTCTGATTGGCTTATTTCACTTAGCATAATGCTCTCCAGTTCCATCCATGCTGTTGCAAATGGTAAGAACTACTTTTTACTGCAGCGTAGTATTACATTGTGTACATGTACCACAGTTTTCTAATCCACTTTTTTTATTTATTTTTATTTTTTTAATATATTTTCATTGATTTCAGAGAGGGAGAGAGAGGTAGAAACATCAGTGATGAGAGAGAATCATGGATCGGCTGCCTCCTGCACGTCCCCTACTGGGGAAGGAGCCCCCAACCCCGGGCATGTGCCCTAGACTGGAATCGAATCCGGGACCCTTCAGTCCGCAGGTCGACGCTGTATCCACTGAGCCAAACCAGCGAGGGCCCCAGCACTGCCCTTGTCAGGATCCCAGTGACGTCCATGTTGCTCAGTCTGGTGGTCAGTTCTCAGTCCTCATTTGCTCATGCTCCTCAGCAGCATGTGACACGACTGGCCACCTCTCTCCTTCCGAGCCCTTCTTGGGGGTCCTCCTCCCCTTCCCCCAGTGGGTGATCGGCCTGGTCTTGCAGTAGTCAGCTGCTTACTCACATCTTCACCTGCAAGTCTAATGGAAATCTCAAATTTAACATGCCTCAAGGGGAACCTTGTTTTTCAGAGCCCGAGCCTCTCCTCCCTCATTTTCCCCGACGCAGTTGGCTCAGGTCAGAAGTCTGGGAGTTCGCCTTGGCACCTCTTTCCCTCAGCAGTTTTTTTCTCCAGCCCATCGGCAAGTCCTGCTGGCAATTTCAGGAACTGACCGCTCTCTCGCCCACCAGCTCCCACAAAGGGGAGTTTACGTCAACTCCTTGGACCTTGGTAGTTATCTCCCGGTTGGGTTTCTGCTGCCTCTCTTGCTTGTCCCTCCATAGGAAGCAACCAGAGGGATGCTTTGAGGACGTACATTAGATCGTGTCAGAGCTCAAACCCTCCAACAGCTTTCCATCCTGTCTACAGCAAACCCAGGGCTCTCACATGGCCCGCAGGCCCCTTGTGATCGGGCCACCGTCGGTGTCTCCTTCACCTGCTGCCACGTGGTCCACGCGCAGTCAGTGGCTTCACCCCTTTATGGGGACACAACAGCTTTTCCTGCTTCGAGGCTCTTATAGGTGATACGCCTGCTTGGTCCTTCTGCCTGGAAAGCTCTTCCCCCAGATCTTTATGTGGCTGGCTCCTTCTCACCATCCAGCCTCTGTTAAGTTCAGTTCATTTTCTTCAGAGCAAAGCAGGACTGTTTGTATTTGTTCCTTGTTTGTGTATCCCCATGTCTATTGTGATTATCAGTATGTGACTTTCGCATAGTAGGTGTTTAAGAAACATTTGCTGACTGAGTAAAATGATTCAGTCATCCATTACTTCCGGAGACTGTCCTCTTTACAAAGGGGGTGGAAGTAAGATTTCTCTTTCTCTCCTTCAGGTACATTACCTGTGCTGAATACACTAACTTCTATGGTGGCAAGAAACCAGGTAAGGCATGAAATCCTTCTCTTCCCCTTGGTATGTGTGGGGGTGTAATTAAGGAATGATGTCTTCACAACAATGAGCCTGTAAAAAATAACAATGGCCCTGGCCGGTTTGGTTCAGTGGATAGAGAGTCGGCCTGCAGACAAAAGCGTCCCAGGTTGGATTCAGGTCAAGGGCACATGCCAGCTTGCAGGCTTGATTCCCAATAGGGGGCGTGCAGGAGGCGGCCGATCAGTGATTCTCATCGATGTTTCTATCTCTCTCTCCCTCTCCCTTCCTCTCTAAAATCAATAAAAATATATTTAAAAAATAATGCTAACAATGAACAAGAACATGGAAACTATAGTAGACAAATGGGCTGAGGACACAGACAAGTCAGAAAAGAGGAAGATATATGAGAAAATGTCTAATCTTGGTGTGATTTTTAAATGTTTTTATCGCCTGGCTGGTATAGCTCAGTGGATTGAGCATCATCCCATGGAACAAGAGGTCCTGGGTTGGATTCCCAATCAGGGCACATGCCCATGTTTTGGGTTCAATCAGCCGATCAATGTATCTCTCTCATTAGATGTTTCTGTCTCTCTCCTTCTCTCTTCCTCTCTGAAATCAATAAAAATATATTTTATTAATTAATTAATTTATTTTTAACTCTTTATTGTTGACAGTATTACATATGTCACCCTTTTTCCCCCATTGACCCCCCTCCAGCCCACCCTTGCCCCAGGCCCTCTCACCCCACTATCTGCGTCCATGGGTTATGCGTATACACATAGGGCGATTTTAGTTGATTACCTTCCACCCACCCCTACCCAGCCTTCCCTCTGAGATTCCGCACTCTGTTCCATGCTTCCATGTCTCTGGATCCACTCTGTTCATCAGTTTATTCTGTTAATTAGATTCCACATATGAGTGAGATCATGTGATTCTTGTCTATCTCTGACTGACTTATTCACTTAGCTTGATGCTCTCCAGGTCCCTCCATGCTGTCTCAAAGGGTAAGAGATTCTTCTTTCTTACTGCTGCACAGTATTCCATGGTGTAAATGTACCACAGCTTTTTTATCTACTCATCTACTGATGGGCACTTGAGTTGTTTCCAGATCTCAGCTATTGTAAATTGTGCTGCTATGAACATAGGGGTGCATACATTCTTTCTGATTGGTGTTTCGGGTTTCTTAGGATATATTCCTAGAAGTGGGATCACCGGGTCAAATGGCAGTTCCATATTTAATTTTTCGAGAAAACGCCATGCTGTTTTCCATAATGGCTGCATCAGTCTGCATTCCCACCAGCAGTGTACTAGGATTCCCTTTTCTCCACATCCTCACCAGCACTTGTCATATGTGGATTTGTTGATGGCAGCCATTCTGACAGGTGTGAGATGATACCTCATTGTCGTTTTAATTTGTATCTCTCTGATGATCAGTGACTTTGAGCATTTTTTCACATGTCTCTTGGCCATCTGTATGTCCTCTTTGAGAAGTGTCTGTTAGGTCCTTTGCCCATTTTTTTTTTAAAATATATTTTATTGAATTTTTACAGAGAGGAAGGGAGAGAGATAGAGAGTTAGAAACATCGATCAGCTGCCTCCTGCACATCTCCCACTGGGGACACGCCCGCAACCCAGGTACATGCCCTTGACCGGAATCGAACCCGGGACCCCTCAGTCCGCAGGCTGACGCTCTATCCACTGAGCCAAACCGGCTTTGGCATTTGCCCATTTTTTAATTGGATTGTTTGTCTTCCTTTTGTTAAGTTGCATGAGTTCATTATATATTTTGGATATTAATCCTTTACCAGATGTATCATTGCTAAATATGTTCTCCCATACGGTGGACTCCCTTTTCATTTTGTTGATTTTTATTATTATTATTATTATTTTTTAATATATTTTATTAATTTTTTACAGAGAGGAAGGGAGAGAGATAGAGAGCTAGAAACATCGATGAGAGAGAAACATCGATTAGCTGCCTCCTGCACACCCCCCACTGGGGATGTGCCCGCAACCAAGGTACATGCCCTTGACTGGAATCGAACCTGGGACCCTTCAGTCCGCAGGCTGACGCTCTATCCACTGAGCCAAACCGGCTAGGGCTGATTTTTTTTTTTTTTGCTGTGCAGAAGCTTTATTTTGATGTAGTCCCATTTGTTTATTTTCTTCTTAGTTTCCTTTTGCCCTAGGACAGTGTCGGCAAACCGCAGCTTGCCAGCCACATGCGGCTCTTTGGCCTCTTGAGTGTGTTCTTCCACAAAATACCACGTGCGCACACACGTACAGTGCGATTGAAACTTTGTGGCCCATGCGCAGAAGTCGGTTTTCGGAAAGGAGATAGACGAAACAAGTATACAAGACGAGTGTGGATGGGAGAGTTGGAAGGGGTTGACCTCAGCAAACGTACCTCAATCAGATTGAGGACGTTTTTAGCAAAGGCCAGCTTAGGAGTACCATAATTAGGGTTAATAACAATGTACCTACCTATATAGTTTAAGTTTAAAAAATTTGGCTCTCAAAAGAAATTTCAGTCGTCGTACTGTTGATATTTGGCTCTGTTGACTAATGAGTTTGCTGACCACTGCCCTAGGAGATGTATCTGTAAACATATTGCTATGAGAAATATCTGAGATTTTACTGCCTATGGTTTCCTTCTAGGATTTTTATGGTTTTCCAACTTACATTTCGGTCTTTTATCCATTTTGAGTTTATTTTTGTGTACGGTGTAAGTTGGTGGTCTAGTTTCATTTTTTTGCATGTATCTGTCCAATTTTCCCAGCATCATTTATTGAAGAGACTGTCTTGACTCCATTGTATACTCTTGCCTCCTTTGTCAAATATTAATTGAGCGTAATGGCTTGAGTCGATTTCTGATGTCTCTGTTCTGTTCCATTGATCTATATGCCTGTTCTTGTGCCAGTACCAGGCTGTTTTGATTATGGTGGCTTTGTAGTTAAACTTGAAATCTGGTATTGTGATTCCTCCAACTTTGTTCTTTCTCAAGATTGCTGCAGTTATTCGGGGTCTTTTTTGGTTTCATATAAATTTTTGGAGTATTTGTTCTAGATCTGTGAAATATGCTGTTGGTAATTTAATAGGGATTACATTTAATCTGTAGATTGCCTTGGGTAGTATGGACATTTTAATGATGTTGATTTCTGCCAATCCATGAACATGGAATATTCTTTCACTTGTTTATATCCTCTTCTATCTCTTTTTTTCAACATCCTGTAGTTTTCCGAGTACAAGTCTTTCTCCTCCTTGGTTAAGTTTATTCCTAAGTATCTTAATTTTTTTTGTTGCAATGGTAAATGGGATTGTTTTAGTTTCTCTTTCTGAGAATTCATTATTGGTGTTTTAAAAAAAAGCCATTGAGCCGAAACTGGTTTGGCTCAGTGGATAGAGCGTCGGCCTGCGGACTGAAGGGTCCCAGGTTCGATTCCGGTCAAGGGCATGTACCTGGGTTGCGGGCACATCCCCAGTAGGAGATGTGCAGGAGGCAGCTGATTGATGTTTCTCTCTCATCGATGTTTCTAACTTTCTATCCCTGTCCCTTCCTCTCTGTAAAAAATCAATAAAATATATTTAAAAAAAAAAGCGCCATTGATTTTTGGGTTTGATTTTGTATCCTGCTACATTGCCAAATTGGTTTATTAAATCTAGTAGTTTTTTGGTGGAGTCTTTAGGGTTTTCTATGTACAATATCATGTCATCTGTGAATAATGAGAGTTTTACTTCCTCCTTTCTAATTTAGATAAAAATATATATATTTTAAATATTTTTATTGATTTCAGAGAGGAAGGGAGAGAGAGAGAAACACCAGTGATGACAGAATCATGGATCGGCTGCCTCCTGCATGCCCCACACTGGGGATCAAACCTGCAACCGGGCATGTGCCCTGACCGTGAATCGAACCGTGACCTCCTGGTTCATAGGTCGACGCTCAACCACTGAGCCACGCTGGCCGGGCAGATAAAGTATTTTTAAAAAATATGTTTTTATCGATTTTTAGAGAGAGAGGAAGGGAGAGGGATAGAGAGATAGAAGCATCATTGATTGGTTGTCTCCTGCACGCCCCCTACTGGGAATTGAACCAGCAACGTTTTGGTTGTTAGGTTGACACTAAATCACACTGGCTGGGCAATCTTGGTGTGTTTTATTAATGTAGGTTAAAATAACATTTTTTCTCTATCAAGATAATAAGGTCAGGCATATCTCATTTTATTGCTCTTCACTTTATTGCACTTTGCAGACATTATTTTTGAGCAAGTCTGGGGGTGAGTTTTCCAACAGCATTTGTTCACTTTGTATCTCTGTCACATTTTGGTAATCCTTGCAATATTTCAGACTTTTTTATTATATTTGTTATGGTGACTTGGGCTTTTGTTTGTTTGCTTTCTTTTTCCCCTCCCCCATAGATTGTTTTAATACATTAGCCCATCTTTCCTTTGAGAAAAATCGTTGTCTTGGTTTCTATAATTGAAAATAACAATAATATCTTCTGTTGGGTCAGTAATGTCTTCTGAAGGCTAAGTGTACTAAGGTCTCTGAAACTTTAATGTGAGTATGAATCATCTGTAGATCTTGTTAAAATGATGCAGACTATAATTCAGAAGGTCTGGGACTGCATGTCCAACCAGCTTTCAGGTGATGGCAGTGCTACTACTTGACACACCATACTTACATTGGAAAAAAATGCCATCTAGAACTTTAATAGGCAGAGATGAAAAGTCAATGTCTGGCTTCAAAGCTTCAAAGGACAGGCTGATTCTGTTTTTAGGGACTAATGCAGCTGTTGACTTGAAATTGAAGCTAATACTCATTTACCATTCTGAAAGTCCAAGGGTCCTTAAGAATTATTCCACATCTACTCTGCTTGTGCTCTGTGAATGGAATGACAAAGCCTGGATGACAGCACATCTGCTTACAACATGGCTTACTAAATATTTAAAGTCTACTGTTGAGTTCTTCTGCTCAGAAAATAAGGTTCCTTTCAAAATATCACTACTTATTGGTAATGCACCTGGTTACCCAAGAGGTCTGATGGAGTTGTACAATGGAATTAATGTTGTTTTAATGCCTGCAAACAGAACATTCATTCTGCAGCCCATGGATCAAAGGAGTAAGTTTGACTTGCAAGTCATTATTTAAGAAATTCATTTCATAAGGTTATAGTTGCAGTAAATAGTGATTCCTCTGATGGATTTGGGCAAAGTAAACTGAAAACCTTCTGGAAGAATTCACCATTCCAGATGCTATTACGCACCTTCATGATTCATGGGAAGAAGTCAAAATATCAACATTAACAGGCGTTTGGAAGAAGTTGATTCCAGCCCTCCTGGGTGACTTTGAGGGCTTCAGGACTTCAGTGGAGGAAGTAACTGCACATGTGGTAGAGATAGCAAGAGAACTACAACTAGAAGTGGAGCCTGAAAATGTGACTGAATTGCTGCAATCTCATAATAATACTTTATGGATGAGGAATTGCTTCTTATGGATGAGTAAAGAAAGTGGGTTTTTTAAATTTTTTTTAAATTTTTTTTTAAAAATATATTTTATTGATTTTTTACAGAGAGGAAGGGAGAGAAATAGAGAGTTAGAAACATCGATGAGAGAGAAACATCAATCAGCTGCCTCCTGCACACCTCCCACTGGGGATGTGCCCGCAACCAAGGTACATGCCCTTGACCAGAATTGAACCCGGGGCCCTTCAGTCCGCAGGCCGACGCTCTATCCACTGAGCCAAACCGGTGCTGGCAAGAAAGTGGTTTTTGAAGTGACAACACAGGACTTAGAATATTACATACCTTTAGTTGATAAAATGGTAGCAGGGTTTACGAGGATTAATTTCAATTTTGAGAGAAGTTCTGTGGGTAAATGCTGTCAAATAGCATTGCAAGTTACAGAGAAATCGTCATGAAAGGAAGAGTCAGTCGATGCGGCACACTTCACTGTTGTTTTATTTTAAGAAATTGTTACTGCCACCCCAACCTTCAGCTACCACCACCCTGATCAGTCAGCAGCCATCAACATTAAGGCAAGACCCTCCACCCAGTAAATGATTATGACACACTGAAGGCTCAGATGATGGTTAATAATTTTAGCAATAAAGCATGTTTTAATTAAGGTATATATCTACAGTACATTTTGCTATTATACACTTGACTATAGTGTAGTATAAACATAACTCTTATAAGCACTGGGAAACCAAAAACTTTGAATCCCTTTATTACAATATTCGCTTTATTGTGGAGGTCTGGAATCGAACTCGCAGTATCTCTGAGGTATGTGGTGTGTACTTTTTTTTCTTAAGTTCTTTCCTGATGTATCCCATGTGCTTTGGTTCTATCGAAAGTTTTTAATCCGAAGCAATTGCTGCACTAGGTAATTTACATGAACTTTTTCTTTTCTCTTTTTAAAAAAATATATTTTTATTGATTTCAGAGAGGAAGGGAGGAGAGATAGAAACATCAATGATGAGAAAGAATCATTGATCGGCTGCCTCCTGCACACCCCACACTGGAATTGAGCCCGCAACCCGGGCATGTGCCCTGACTGGGACTTGAACCGTGACCTCCTGGTTCATAGGTCGACACCCAACCACTGAGCCACGCAGGCTGGGCTACGTGAACTTTTTCTTAAAATGTAATTGAATTGTTGATAGGGATACATAGGTGAAATTTTTTACAGAATAAATTTTCTGTCTCTTATTTTTGTTTTAAACAGATATCCCACAAACAAATTTTCGTCGTTTACCTTTTGACCACTGCAGGTAAGAGTTTTGAGAATTTAATCTTTCCCTTGTAATAGTTCTCTGATACTCAGTTATTTGACAGTAAATCTGATCCTTGGAGATGCAGCTGTGGGTTTTGTCTGTGTCCCCCCCACCTCTCCCTCCAGACCTTCCCTGAACTGGGAGAAGGTGACTCAACAATGATAAGAACCAATGATTCTTTTCTGCTTATTCTGTGTCTGTGTTTACAAGTACATTGTCTTTTTAACCTCAGTCTTACCTTCCAAGGTAGGCAGGCTCTGTTGTTAAGCCTGTTTTACAGTTGAGATAATCAGTGCTTAGAAGAGTGAAGTCCCTTGCCCAGTGGCAGTGGTGCCACTGAGGCGTGAACCCAGTGGTCTCCCATGGCCCTGTGCCTTTCACACTTTACCTTTGTCCAGAGTCCAAGTGGTAACAACTGCTGCAATAGTCGTGATACTGTGAGCCCCCTTCCCCTTCCCTGGGGAGTGTAGGTCACTGGTGGGAGTGGGGAGGGGTCCAGCTTTAGAGCCACTCAAATGCTTCCCACCCCAGTTGGTATGTGTACTAGTGTGAACAGAAGCTGGGTGTGCTGAAAAAATGGGACTAGGATTGTTGAACCCCAGCACATTGGGGGCTGTGGGGTGGGCAGGTCTGGTGGTCCCCTTGGGCCTACATTTCCTAAATTTGAGCCATGGTCGTCTCTGCTCTGTACACATGCATGTCTGCACAGCATTCCTCCTCATCCCCCGAGTTCTGATTCCATAGGACAGAGTGATCCTTGAGAGCTGATAAAGCTCTCCTGGTGATCCCAGTGCCCAGTTGAGGCAGGTCAGCCAGACACCACAGGGTGCTGAGGGTGCCAGGAAGGTCTGGAGATGCAGCCGCTGGGTGTGCCCAGGGCCCCCCGGGAGGCTCCCATGCAGTGGTGAGTGAGGGCTTTTCCCGCTCACAGCACTTACTCAGGAGGGTGGACAAATGAGACCCAGATGCCTTTGGCTGCACTTCTCTCCCAACCCACCAGATTTTGTCATCAGCCCCATGAGAATGTCCTATTCAGATTGGGTATGAATTGGTTTTATGGAAATGCTTTCATCCTTGGTTCCCAGTTCCTGCAAGGGGTCTCTGATCTGTGTCTCGCTCATTTTTTAACTACATTGGGTTCTGGGTAAAAAATGTGCTTTGAGAATGTGCCTTTAGGTTGTGTCTGGGAGAAGATGTGTGTACATTTCTTGCTGTTGGAGCATGATTCTGTGTCAGGTCCTGCTGTGGTCAGCCCCCAGCAGCACTAGCAGCACCAGAGCTCAAATTTAGAAAACTCAGGCCCCAGGGGACCAGCGGACCTGCCCACCCCACAGCCCCCTATGTGCTGGGGTTCAACAATCCTAGTCCCACAAGGTTAGAGTAGACTTTTGAGCCAGAGAGAAAGGGGTGAGATTACCCCATGAGGGCTTCTGGGGCAATATCCAGGGAGGTAGCGTAGCCCCAAGCTGCCAGGCTGTCTAGGTCCCGGGGACTGACCTGTGCTGACCAGACTTACAGGTGACGGATGTCTAAACAAGCCAGGGCTTTTGATGGCTAGTGACAGAAATCCCACACAGGAAAAAGGGTATTGGCCCAAGGAAGTCCACCCTTCATCTGTGGGCTCTGCTTTCCTTAAGGAGACCCTTCAGGAGGTGGCAAATGCCCTGTGGTAGTCTGGACCTCTGCAGGCCCCTCTACCCCACATCCACATATCAGAACTTACCCTGGGCTCCTGGGGCCTCAGGTCTTGCCTGAGTCATGTGAACGCCCCTAGGAAATATGGGGAGAACTGTCTGCACAGTCTGTGGTCAGGAGCAGGCAGGGCACCCCTAGATCATGAGAGCCCACCAGAGCCTCTTGGGATGGGAGAGGCAGTTCTCAGTAGAAAAGTGTGGCTGCTTATGCCTGTTATGTGAGGTTTTGGAGAGCGAATTCCAGTCCTGCCTCTCCCGGGCCACCTCCAGTGAGCTCCTTTGGGCTTGAACATGATCACATGTGTATTACATATCACAGCACAGGGTGTGGAGAGGACTAGGCTGCAGTTGTCCCTAAACCCTCTCCTCAACTCCTGAAATCCTTGCTTTGTACTTACTGGTTTGTGCTGGGAGCTTCTGAGGGGCAGAGATGTGGGGGTCCCCTCTGTGCTGGCACCTATCGCAGGCTGTGCAGAGGAGCACCCGAGTTGTTGGAGGAATGACCGAAGGAGGGAGAGGCAAAGGGAGAAGTCACAGGAGCCATGTGGGAGTGGCCCGGCCGTCCATTGCATGACCAGGAGTGACCATGTCCTTTCTCAGTCTCTCTCTGCAGCCCTTCAGCTACCCGGTCTGCACCCCTGAAGGCGTCGTCTTTGACTTGCTGTGAGTTCTCCCTTGACTTTTGCGCTAACAAACGGGGTGAGGTTGTTGATATCTGCTCAGGTAGGGGATGTGGGGCCGGCTGGAGGGTTAATGGTTCCAGGCAGTGCAAGCCAGGCCACGCTGAGGTCCTGGGGCTTCGGGGGTCCTGGGCAGGTCTCTTGGGGACCCAGGAGGGACTGCCAGGGCCTCAGAGATGAAGCAGCAATGCTGCTGTGACCCCTGGCAGGTGCTGCTGTCTTCCTGGAGTGGCATTGACACCCCCTCGCACCCCCCAAGTGAGGTCCCAGTGTTCTAGTTGCCACTCATGTACTTGTTTTGGAATGTTAATGAACTAAACTTTTTCACTTTATGAAAGTCATAATTAGGGTGCATACTTTTCAGCGCTGTGTTTTGAAGCATTATGCTCAGTCTTACGTTCCAACATAAGCCAGCTTATATACTTTTCTCACATTTCAGACTTATTTTAGAAAAACTGTAAAACATTTCAAAGGAAAAATTTGCCATAATCACACTATCTGGGGTAACCACTGTCAGTATTTATACTCATCTTATTTTTAAAAAAAAATACATATTTTATTTTTTACAGAGAGGAAGGGAGAGGGATAGAGAGTTAGAAACATCCATGAGAGAGAAACATCCATCAGCTGCCTCCTGCACACTCCCCACTGGGGATGTGCCTGGAACCAAGGCACATGCCCCTGACCGGAATCGAACCCTGGACCCTTCAGTGCACAGGCCAACGCTCTAACCACTGAGCCAAACTAGTCAGGGCTATACTCATCTTTTTCTGTGTGTTTATTTGTGGTAACATGGTTGAGATAATACCATGAAGGTAGTTCTAGATCCATTCTTTTCTTTTTTTTTTTTTAAATATATTTTATTGATTTTTCACAGAGAGGAAAGGAGAGGGATAGAGAGTTAGAAACATCAATGAGAGAGAAACATCAATCAGCTGCCTCCTGCACACCTCCTATTAGAGATGTGCCCGCAACCAAGGTACATGCCCTTGGCCGGAATTGAACCTGGGACCTTTCAGTCCGCAGGCTGATGCTCTATCCACTGAGCCAAACCAGTTAGGGCTAGATCCATTCTTTACTCAGTCATTTTCCCCCATGTCATTAAGAATTCTCTGGAAATTATAATTTTGATGATGGTCCAGTATCTCATTTTATGGACGTATCAACATTTGTGTACATCTTTGTTTGCTAGTTTGTGTTGTTTATATATAACTGCAGTAAAAACCCTGAATATACTCTGAACCACGTTTCCAGAAATAGCCCCTGCTTCCTTTGATGAGGCAAGGCGCCCCTCTCCTTGGCTTCTGCCCCAGAAGTGAACGGAGCAAAGGCCCTTTGCAGCTGTCCCAGAGGCAGCCTCCTGGCTGTGCTGTACCTGCCAATCACACTGATGCTCTCTGTTCTCTTCCCTTCAGGAACATCCTTCCTTGGCTTAAGAAGTATGGGACCAACCCCAGCAACGGCGAGGTAAGGGTCGTGCAGGAGTTTAAGTGATGCCAGTGAACGCTGTCCTATCGCCTGTCCTTTGATTCTGTGGTTTTCATATACACGCAGGCGCAGTAGAGGACGATTGGTGGGGCACAGTGAGGGACTGTGCTTCTCCTGTACACACATTCCTTTCCAGAAATGTTTCCTACACGCACACACGTGTGCACAGGTGTACATCTTTGCTTGGGCCATGGGTGCGCTCACAGGCGTGAATTCCTCTGTACCTTGCTTTCGCATCCTGCAGTGTGTTGGGGATCCGAGTGTGTCAGAGCATAAAGCCCTGCCTTGTTCTGTGGTGGCTGTGTGTGCCCTCATGCGGGGGTACTGCAGGGATCTGAAGTCACCTGCTGTTGCAAACAGTGGTCAGGGCCACCCTGGTGCATGCTTCTTTGGGCATACACATGAGTGTCGTCCTGGGACTGCTGGGTCATGGGGTGGAAGCATTTTCTGTTTTGGTAGCTACTGGCAAATTTCTTTCCAGAATTATACCATTTTATTTTTTGTGTCTTAATGTTTTTATTGATTTTTAAAATATATTTTTATTAATTTCAGAGAAGAAGTGAGAGGGGGGAGAGAGAGAGAAACATCAGTGATGAGAGAGAATCATTGATTGGCTGCCTCCTGCACGCCCTCTACTGGAAATCGAGCCTGTAACCCTGGCATGTGCCCTTGACCAGAATCAAACCTGGGACCCTTCAGTGCGCAGGCTGACACTCTATCCACTGAGCCAAAGCAGCTAGGGCTGTTTTTATTGATTTTTATAGAGAGAGGAAGGGGGAGCGATAGACAGGTAGAAACATCCCTGAGAGAGGAACATCATCAAATGGCTGCCTCCAGCATGCCCCCTACTGGGGGATGGAGCCCACAACCCAGGCATGTGCCCTGACCAGGAATTGAACCAGCAACTTCTTGATGCCTGGGTTGGCACTCAACCACTGAGCCACGCTGGCCAAGTGAGAAGGGCTATCTTACCTGGTGGGAGCAGCCTTGCAGCAAGCACCCCATCATCTGTCCTGGAGTCTAATGCTCACCTGCACAGGTGTGTGGGAGTAGTTGAATAGAGGAGGAAGGCATGAAGCCAGGTGTGTGGCTGGTGGACTGGCCACTGTAGGAGAGGGCGGACACAGGGTTGGAGCTTGGCTCAGAGGCCCAGTCCTGGAACAGCCACCCAGTGTCTCCTTTGGGCCCTGGGTAGCAGGGCGGGGCCCACCCCACCTGGGTGGCAGGGGCTACAGGGACTTGAGCCCTGAGTCAGGTGCTCCCAAGGGGCAGCTTTACCTGTCTGTTCCAGGGTCTCTCCACAGCCCCCTTCAGTGCCCCAGCTGAGGCCCACCCCCCAGGGCTGCTGCTTTCCTCTGGCTGCCTGGACTTTGTTTTATTGTGAAGTTTCCTGTAGAAGGGGTAAACTGTAGACACACAGAAATGCTAAAAAATGGAGCATCCCGCCGGGCCTGGGTGGTTCAGTTGGTTGGAGTGCCGTCCCATACACCAGGAAGGTTTGGGGTTTGATCCCTGATCAGGGCATGTGTGGGAGGCAGCTGGTTGATGTTTCTCTCTCTCTGTAGAATCAATAGACATATCCTGGGTGAGGATTAAACAAAAATAGAGGATCCCCATCACAACTGCTCTTAGCATTTGGGTATATTTATTCCTTTTCCCCTACTTTTAAAAATATTTTATCTTTCTTAAATAGTTACACAACAGAAGAATAAGGTGAACACCATCCAGCTGGAAAAAAAATATATTTGTGTTTTTTTTTAATCCTCACCCAAGGATATTTTTTTCTCCATTGATTATTAGAGAGACTGGCAGGGAAGAAGAGAGGAAGGGGGAGACAGGAAGAAACATCGATGTGAGAGAGACACATAGATTGGTTGCCTCCTGCCCATGCCCCAATCAGGGCCGGGGATCAAACCTGCAACCCAGGTACATGCTCTTGACTGGGAACGAACCCATGACCCTTTGGTGCAGGGGCCAACGCTCTGACCACTGAGAACACTGGCCAAGACAAAATAATTCAATTTCAGAAATAATCTGTGCTTGCCATGAAACTGTCTAAACATCACAGAGTATAAACAAACCTGCCCCTCAGGCCCGGCCTCCAGGCTGGATGTCAACCCCTTTGCTTGGGGCCGGTTTGCTGGCTCAGAGGCTGGGCTTCCACTGTGCAGCCCCCTTATCTAGGTTAATCCCTGTGTCCTGGGGCCCCTTGGTCAGCACCTGTGCCTTTTTCTTTTTTTTAAAATATATTTTATTGATTTTTTACAGAGAGGAAGGGAGAGGGATAGAGAGCTAGAAACATCAATGAGAGAGAAACATCAATCAGCTGCCTCCTGCACACCCCCCACTGGGGATGTGCCTGCAACCAAGGTACATGCCCCTGACCAGAATCGAACCCGGGACCCTTCAGTCCCCAGGCCGACGCTCTATCCACTGAGCCATACCGGTCAGGGCAGCACCTGTGCCTTTTCCTTGTCTGACGGCTTGGATGGTCAGACTCTTCCAGGCTGTCTGTGTCCTCTGGCCTCAGCAGTTCTTCATATCAGCCACTTATTATTAATTATGAATTCTACTTCTTCCAGAAACTGGACGGGCGGTCCCTGATTAAACTGAACTTTGCAAAGAACAGTGAAGGTAAGAGATCTCTTACAGCCAACTCAGGACTGGCCTGCAGAACCCGGCCGCGGCCTCACACCAAGGTCTCTGCACAACCAGTCATTCCCTTCTGATCAGGCTGGACACTTGCTTTTAATTTCTCAAAGAGGCAACATAATTTTTTCCTTTTTATCATTTTTTTTTTAACCTCACCTGAGGATATTTTTCTGTTGATTTTTAGAGAGTGAGGAGGGCAGGGGGAGGTGGGAGGGGGAAAAAGAGAGAGGGAGAGAGCAACATAGATGTGAGAGAGACACATAGATTGGTTGCCTCCTGCACATACCCCAACTGGGGCCAGAGATTGAACCTGCAACCAAGGTACATGCCCTTGACTGGGAATCGAACCCTCAACCCTTTGGTGCACAGGCCGATGCTCTAACCACTGAGAAAAACCAGCCAGGGCTAACATAATTTTTTCTTTTTCTTTTTTTTTTTTAAATATTTTTATTGATTTTGGAGAGGAAGAGGGAGGGAGAGAGAGATAAAAACATCAATAATGAGAGAGCTGCCCTGACCAGTTTGGCTCAGTGGATAGAGCGTCAACCTGCGGACTGAAGGGTCCCAGGTTCGATTCCAGTCAAGGGCATGTACCTTGGTTGCGGGCACATCCCCAGTAGGGAGTGTGTAGGAAGCAGCTGATCGATGTTTCTCATCGATATTTCTGGCTCTCTATCCCTCTCCCTTCCTCTCTGTAAAAAATGAATAAAATATATTAAAAAAAAAAAAAGAAAGGGGAAGACATTAAAAAAAAAATAATGAGAGAGCATCATTGATTGGCTGCCTTCTGCACACTCCACAATGGGGATTGAGCCCACAACCTGGGCATGTGCCCTGACTGGGAATCGAAGCTCAACCACTGAGCTTTGCCGGCTGGGCTAACACAATTTTTTCTTAAAGGTCCAGGTAGTTTTTAAAGCTGAGGGTGGAGGAGTGAAACCTTGGGTTTTGGGTATTTCTTCCCACGAAGGCAGTTGGGCCATGGGGACCTCTGGAGGCCTTGTGGGCACAGATGGGCCCCGTGTCTCTGGTCTGCTCATGGCTGGAGGCAGAAGCTGCGCAGGCTGAGAGGCCCAGGGCAGGCAGCTGGGCAGGGGTGTGTGGGTCTGACAGATTTGTTGGGTGGCTCTTAGGCTGAGCTCCTCGCCACTGGTCATAAAGCCCAGCCCAGCCAGGACCCTCCTGCTTTATATCGTTACACTCCCTCTCACTGGCCAGATGCCCTCGCTGAGGCAACCCCTGAGGGCACTGATCTTGCTCTGGGTTCTCGGTTGGCCTGGCGTGGTTCTCTTGGCCTGTGCAGATGCCATGGTCAAGGCTGGTGTCTATGCTCACTGGGTGTGTACATTCTAGGGCAGTGATGGCGAACCTATGACACGCGAACTCATTTTTTTGGTTGCTTTTTCTTTGTTAAATGGCATTTAAATATATAAAATATCAAAAATATAAGTCTTTGTTTTACTATGGTTGCAAATATCAAAAAATTTCTATATGTCTCACGGCACCAGAGTTAAGTTAGCGTTTTCCAAAATGCTGACACGCCGAGCTCAAAAGGTTCGCCGTCACTGTTCTAGGGAGATGTTGAAGTAGCTGAGGCTGAGGCCCGTCTGACACTCTGTCTGACCCCAGAGCCTGGCCCATAGTAGATGCTGGTTCATAGTGATGAGTGAACAGGCCTTGGGAAAACAAAAGCTTAGCGATTCAGGGACAGTCCCTGGGGTTAGGGAGCTTCGCCCGAGTGTTGTGGGCCTCCCTGCTCAGAGACCAGCTGATCTGGGGAGGTCTACAGTGTATCTCATTCAGCAACTATTTACTCAGTGCCTGCTTAGTGATATTTATTTATTTATTTAAAAATTATATGTATATGTATATTCTTAACCACCAGAGGATATTTCTCCATTGATATTTATTATTATTTTAAAATATATTTTTTTGCCATAACCGGTTTGGCTCAGTGGATAGAGCGTTGGCCTGCGGACTGAAAGGTCCCAGGTTCGATTCCGGTCAAGGGCATGTACCTTAGTTGCGGGCACATCCCCAGTAGGGGGTGTGCAGGAGGCAGCTGATCGATGTTTCTCTCTCATCGATGTTTCTGACTCTCTATCCCTCTCCCTTCCTCTCTGTAAAAAATCAATAAAATATATTTTAAAAAAATATATATATATTTTTATTGATTTCAGAGAGGAAGGGAGAGGGAGAGTTGGACACATCAATGATGAGAGAGAATCATCGATAGCTGCCTACTGCACACCCCCTACTGGGGATCAAGCCTGCAACCTGGCCCTGATTAGTAATCAAATCAATCCTTTTGGTTTTTGGGTTGATGCTTAACTGCTGAGCCACACCCGGCTGGGCTCCATTGATTTTTAGAAAGATTGGAAGAGAGAGAGAAAGACAGAAATTATAAATGTGAGAGAAACACATTGGTTGCCTCCTGCATGAGCCCCAACCAGAGCCTGGGCCAGGGAGGAGCCTGCAACCGAGGTATGTGTCCTTGACCGGAATTGAACCTGGGACCCTTCAGTCCGCAGGCCAACATCCACTGAGCCAAACCACCTAGGGCTAAAATATACTTTTGATTTCAGAGAAGAAGGGAGAGGGAGAGAGATAGAAATATCAGCAATGAGAGAGAATCATTGATTGGCTGCCTCCTGCACGCCCCACACTGAGGATCCGGCCTGCAACCCGGGCATGCACCCCTACAGGGAATCGAACCGTGACTTCCTAGTTCATAGGTCGATGCTCAACCACTGAGCCATGCTGTCCAGGCTGCTTAAGTGATTTTAAAACAAATTTGAGACATTGTATCATTTCATGCTTAAATACTTAAGTTTGAAAAATAAGGACTTAAAAAAATAGTTATCACAATACTATTCTAACTACTCTAACATCTAAAAAATTAACAAGAATTCCTTATTATTGACTGTCCAGCCATTGATCAAATTTCCAGAACGCTGTCATAATTATTTTTATATAGTTTTCAAATCAAGATTTTTAAAAAGTCCACACGAATAGGTAGTTGATAATCTCTAAGTCTCTTAATCTAGAAGTCTTCCTCCCCGCCTTTTTGCAGTTTATTTGTTGGGACTTATTTGGACAGGCTCCTGGCTACCTGTAGGGAGTTGGTGGGATAGGGGAGTAGCAGGAATTTGTTGCAATATCCCAGGTGACAGTGTGAGGGACGAGGCAGTGTCTGCAGTGGAGGAGGAGGCCAGGGCAATGTTGCCAGTGGTGGCCTGGGGCTGATGAGGCAGATACCTCTGAGGAAGGCCATGTGAGGATTGGAGGAGGGGGGTAAGCAGCTGGCCGGCCACTGGGCCCCACTCTGGGCATACGGAGGCAGGCTTTTGCCTTCTCCCGTTCTCTGACCTTGGGCCTTTCTCTGGTCTCTGCGTGCCTCCTCCCTAGAGAAGTACCACTGTCCAGTGCTGTACACCGTGTTCACCAACAACACCCACATCGTGGCCATCAGGACCACCGGCAATGTCTATGCCTACGAGGTAGGTTCTCGGGAACTGTGTCCCCTACCCGCTCTTTAGGGGTCTGCTCCTGGGAACCCTGGCCTGGGCTCGGGGATGGCACAGCCTTTCCCTGTGGGGCCGACACTCTGAGAGCTATCAGCACAGCCTAGAAAAGGCAGGCCTTCCTGTGGCCACTGGACCTGATGCCTGGGAAGTTCTTTTGTACTCAGGGGTCTTGCCCACCGTCGTCTTCAGCAGACTCTTACTGGTCAGGCCCTGGGAGGCCCTGTGCTCTGAGGGCACTCCAGGGCTTCGAGGGGGTCTTGAGTCCCCCAGTTCCTGGCGGAGTCCCCAAGAGGAGCAGATGTGGCTGGTGGGCAGGTGTGGAGAGAGGAGGCCCTGGTTTTCCCACCTGTCCTCCAGGTGTTCCAGCACTGTACAGACGGCAGGGCTGTGGGCTCCACGTAGCAGGGAGGCCTCTCAGCTGTTTTCATGCCTGTCCCTGGCCGCTGGCAGGGTTCAGGTGGCCAGCGTGGCTCTAGAGGCTCTGGGGGTGACACCTTGCCCGAGTGCATGGATTTCAGGGGCTTGGTACAGATGGGCGGCCTCGCTGAACCTGTTCGCTGATGTGTAAGACGTGTCACGAGAGAGTCCTGTGAGGAACCTTGCTCAGAGGGTAGTCTTCAAGTTTCTGGGGCTCAACAAGCTTCCCCCTCAGGGGCAGGGCCATGGCTCTGAGCCCGTGGGGGGTGCCTGGTAGTTCTGTCCTTTTCCTCTCGCTGGATGGTGCCGTCGTCCGGGCGGGCTGGGACAGGCACGGTAACAGCCGCTTCCTCCTGGCCACAGGCAGTGGAGCAGCTCAATATCAAGGCCAAGAACTTCCGAGACCTGCTGACGGACGAGCCCTTCTCCCGGCAGGACATCATCACCCTCCAGGTGCGGTCCCTTCCCTGTGCTCTCGGGAGGGGCCTCGAGAACCTTGGCGCGGCTGCCCTCTGCCAGCCCCACTCTCCACCCAGGGTCAGTGGCTCCCTCCTTGCTACCTGTCTGGTTGAGGTTCCCCAGCTGCCACTGACAGTGCCCCCACCTCCTGCCCTCCTTACACTCAGTCACATGGGCCTCGCACACCGCTTCCTCCGGTTCCCACGTCTCCTCTGATGCCTGCTGTCAGGGCCCCCCAGAGCCATCTCGGCACAGAGTGGCCTCTTTGCAGGCCTGGCTCTCCACCTGCCCTCTTGAGAGTGGGGGCAGGTGTGTGCTCAGCATTGGGCACAGGGCACCCTGTGGTGTCAGAGAATCCTGGGTGAGTTCATGAAAAACACGGACTTAGAAAGTGTTTTAGGAGTGACTTAGAGGGGGACGATCCCTTCTGTGGCTTGTCCCATTCTAATTGGAGGTCAGTACACATTCCTTCCAAGGGAGGGGGCTCGCTGTCCCCAGGGCCCGAGCTCTGTGGGGTCTGTGACTGGCAGCCAAGCTGAAGGGAGGACGGGGCAGCCTGTGGGAGGCCTGGAGGTGGGCACAACATATCTGCTCACCTTCCCTCGAGAAGACCCCATCCGTCTTGTGGCTGCCTCACAGCAAGGGATGCTTGTCGGCCTGTGCCAGGGAGATGCAGATGCAGTTTGGGGAGCAGCCAGCCATTTGTTCCAGTTTCCACCCCCCCCACCCTGCTCGTGGCCCCAGGGCAGAGCCCTCTCCCTGGCTCCCTTGTTCTCTGCTCGACCCCCAGGCTTCTGTGCGGCCACAGGCCTCTCCCCTCCTGGCCCCAGGACCCTCATGCCACTCACCTGTCCTTTGCTGCCCGTGGCAGCCACATGGCCACAGCCCGGGACTCGGCTGGACTCACTCCACTGCACGTGTTCTTTTTGCCCTAGGACCCTACAAATTTGGACAAATTCAACGTCTCCAACTTCTTTCATGTTAAGAATAACATGAAAATAACCGACCCAGGTATGAACATCCAGGGGTGGTCTGGGTGCCAGGGGTTGGGGGAAATAGGTCCATGCTCCCTGGCCAAAGCCCCCACCCTCCTGGGATCAGAGTCTTGATCGAGCTGAGGCAAGTTTGGAATTTCTCAAGCTGGCGTTCAGCTTCTCCTGCGCTGAGATTGGCAGAATCACCCTGGCCCAGGCCTGCCCGCAGGGCCTGATTGGTGGGTGTCAGCCAGGCCTTAGGCCTGAGTGCCCACAGCCTCCTGGGGGAGAGGCCCATACACCTGGTCCTCCCCTCTCAAGACTTAGCTCCAGGGCCTTCGGGCTGCTTTCTCGGCCAGGCCCTCAGGTGCCTGGATGGGGCCGTCTTTGCTCCTTAGAAGTTGTCTCTGTTCTCACTACAGGGACAGGAGGTTAGGCAGGTAGGTGGGAACTGCTCAGCGAGCTGGTCACCACCACTGTGGTGCTGTGGTTAGGGGCTGTTTCTGAACTCTGTTGGGACCAAGGCTGGGCCAGGGACAGAGACCATAGCCGACTCCAGCAGAAGCCGTGGCAGGGGGCGCTGCCCTTCTGGGCTGTTCCTTCACTCTCTCCCTACACTACCTCCCTGGGTTTGCAGCGACTACAAGGATGTCACTGTGATGGAGGCTTGGCCTGTGTCCTGGTCCGGGACCTGCTGGGTAGCCAGCTCTGGCCTTTTTCCCCATCATGCACATCTGGGGACATTCCTGGGGCTCAGCTGCTCAGGCCACCATGCTGTTTTGTAGATGAAGAAAAGGCCAAACAGGACCCATCTTATTATTTGAAAAATACCAATGCCGAGACCCGAGAAACACTGCAGGAGCTCTACAAAGAGTTCAAGGGGGATGAGGTCCTGGCGGCCACCATGAAAGCCCCAGAGAAGAAGAAGGTGGACAAGCTGAATGCGGTGAGTAGGTGGCGGGGTGCACAGCTGCCAGCTCAAGCCACCCGCCCATCAGAGCGCCTAGGAGTGGTTCTGGGATACAGTCGGAGGGGAAGCAGCTGGGGCCCCCGAGCCAAGGCGCCCCTGGGGGCCCAGAGGACAGCGGCACTGAGGAGCTGGGGCTGACAGCTGTGCTGGGAGCCGCGCGGGGAAGGTGGCCCCCAGCCGTGTAGGGTCTGTTTCTTTTTTTAAATATATTTTTATTGATTTCAGCAAGGAAGGGAGATAGAAAGAAACATCAATGATGAGAGAGAATCATTGGTCAGCTGCCTCCTGCATGCCCCCTACTGGGGACAGACCCCACAACCTGGGCATGTGCCCTTGACCGGAATCGAACCCAGGACCCTTCAGTCCGCAGGCCGACACTCCATCCACTGAGCCAAACCAGCTAGGGCCATGTAGGATCTATTTCATGCTCTGGCCCAAGCTGGGAAGCCTGGGACAGACATGCTGGGTGGACAGTGCCTGGGGCTTTGGGGGTACCACGTGACACAGTAGCCTCAGGCATGCAGGTCTGTGGGAGGGGATGTCCCGTGGGGTGCGGAGTCTGCCCTGCAGAATTGGTCACTCGGTGCCCAGAGCAAACCCAGGGAGAGAAGGCGGGTGCTTCAGGGGTCCCGCAGTGCTGAGGGAGGGACAAGTGGTGCGGTGCCTGTCCCTCCTGGGCAGTCAGGTTTGCTTCTTACAATACCCGGTAGTTGGCTCTGAGGTCCTCTCGGCAGTGATGGCACCAGGATTTGTGCCCTGGTCTGTCAGGCCCCAAAGCTGCCCCTTCCCCTCTTCATTTTGGAGAGCTGGGGCTGTGGCAGTGGGGAGGTGGGGCTCTGAGGCTCCCACCTTAAAGAAATATTCAGGAAAATTTGCAAAAGAAAAGTTTGTTGTTCATACTTCCAGCACTCTCACACAAGCTCTTAGCATTTTGGTGTACTTCCTTCTGATGGGGAGAAATCCCTCTTTTTATTTTTCCCTTCTGCCTGGGATGAAAAAATATTTATTGGGGCTTATATTTTCCTGATTAAAAATGTGTTTATTGTAGCCGAAACCGGTTTGGCTCAGTGGATAGAGTGTCGGCCTGCGGACTGAAAGGTCCCAGGTTCGATTCCGGTCAAGGGCATGTACCTTGGTTGCGGGCACATCCCCAGTAGGAGATGTGCAGGAGGCAGCTGATCGATGTTTCTCTCATCGATGTTTCTAACTCTCTATCTCTCTCCCTTCCTCTCTGTAAAAAAATCAATAAAAAATATATTTAAAAATGTGTTTATTGTAGACACTGAAAACTTTTTAAAAACATTTTTTAATTGATTTTAGAGAAGAAGGGAGAGGGAGAGAAACATCAGTGATAAGAGAGAATCATCGATCAGCTGCCTCCTGCACGCCCCCTACTGGGGATCAAGCCCACAACCCAGGTACATGCCCTTGATCAGAATCGAACCTGGGACCCTTCAGTCCGCAGGCTGACGCTCTATCCACTGAGCCAAACCGGCTTGGGCGACACTGAAAACTTTTAAAAGGAAAATAGTCCCTCGTTCCTTGGGGCCTTAGGGAAAGGCCAGTTCGGGCTGGGCCACCCTGTCCCCAGGAGGTTCCTGGTGTATCTTTGGGTGGTGGCCACGGATGCCTTCCTGGAGGAGAGGCACGAGCAGGGGCCTCAGCTGCTCCCATGTCCTCAGCCTCCGGGCCTCCCAGGCGCTGCTGACGCGCCCACATGGTTTCCTCTGCAGGCCCACTATTCCACTGGGAAGGTGAGCGCCTCCTTCACCTCCACCGCCATGGTTCCAGAGACCACCCACGAAGCAGGTAGCTGCCTCCCCTCCTCTGTCACCAGTGCTGCCTCATGATGGCCGAGGCGGGTGCCCTGCCTCCCTGTCCTCAGCATCGCTCCCTGGCGTCTGGGTTTTGTGGGCTCTTAGCTCAGGACTGGTCAGGGGTCGGGCCCTTTTGAAGGTGTGTTTGCGTCTGCACTGGGGGATGCTGTAGTCAGAGCTAGGGCTGCAGCAGGAACCCTCCCCAAGCCGTGTCCTGCCTGTGAGGGAGCCCCACCTTTTCCTCTTCCCAGGCTGCCCGTGGGCATCTTAGCCCTCCAACCAAGCTCTCTTCCTCTTGTATTTTCAGCAGGTCAGGTCCCCAACCCTCTCGTCTCCACCCCGCTCCCACCCTGAGTCCAGGCCTTCCCAGCGTCCCCGCCTTAACTGCTGAGCCTCCCCGTGCTCAGCCAGGGCACACCCTCGAGCTTTCCTTGGAACTTGGAATTTTCCAGGCCTTGTGCCTGGTGTGGGGTGCGGGTCTTCAGGGCGAGGGAAGGCACAGAGCTTGGGCCTCTGCTTGATTGCAGCCGCCATTGACGAGGACGTGCTGCGCTACCAGTTTGTGAAGAAGAAGGGCTACGTGCGGCTGCACACCAACAGGGGCGACCTCAACCTGGAGCTGCACTGCGACATGGTGGGTGTGGCAGCCGTCCCCTCCCTGCCCAGGGTCGTCCCAGGTCTGAAGCATGGAGCTGCACTCTGGGTGTGCTCGTAGTGGAGAATTCTGTCCTCTAGGGCTGTGCCCACTGCCCTCCCCAGAAGGGACCCTGTCAGCGTGTGCTGCGTTTCCTCAGCCCACCTGGGCGGTGAACACACCCCCGACACACACACACACACACACACACACACACACACACACACCATGCACAGCACACACACAGACCACCCCCCACCCCCACCCCCGCTGCTCTGCTGGCATCTCCCCGTGGCCCTCGCTCTCAGGCTGGGCGGCTTGGACCTTACTGTGTTCACGCTGGGCAGCTAACCCTCTTCCACGGCGTGGTCAGGGCTTGGGTGGCATTGGTGACCCCCCATTGGCTGCTTCATGCCTCACGGAAGTATCTGGGTTATTCTGCAGACACCAAAAACCTGCGAAAACTTCATCAAGCTCTGCAAGAAGCAGTATTATGATGGTACCATCTTCCACAGGTCCATCCGGAATTTCGTGGTGAGTGACCTGGGTCAATGCTGGCCTCCGGGGCCAGATGCCTCCTGGAGGTGACTTCTGCCATATGTAGGAGCCCCTTCTCAGGGGCAGGGAAACAGCAGACTCACCCCTTGAGCACCCAGCCTGGCCACACTGGGCATGTGCAGAGACGGGCCTTGGGAGGGCCTCTGTCCTCACCAAGAGCTCAGACGCTCTATGTCCATCTGGCCGGTGGGGAGTTGCTTCCGGCTGTGGGCAGTGGGGGCTGTGGAAGGGCCGGCAGGGCCGCGGGCATGGCTTGCTCACTGGCTTTTGTTCTTGCAGATCCAGGGAGGTGACCCCACTGGCACAGGCACGGGTAGGTACTGGTGCTGGGCTTCCCTGGGCAGCTTTGGCTGCCCCATCGGCCCTGAGGGGGTAGGTGGGTGGGACATGCTGAGTTCCAGATGTGGCGTTAGGTGATCTTGGGCACGTCCCTATTTTCTCATTTTGAGATGGAGGGGAGCATGTTGCCTCCTCCACAGGCCTCTGGGCACCCATCTCTTTTTTTTTTTTTTTAATATTTTATTATTTTACAGAGAAGAAGGGAGAGGGATAGAGAGTTAGAAACATCGATTCAGCTGCCTCCTGCACACTCCCTACTGGGGA